GTGGCCCGCGCGGCCGCCCTGGGGCCGGCCGTTGCGCGCGCCGCTGCCGCGGCCGCTGGCGCTGCGGCCGCTACTGCGGCCGCTCGCGCGGCGGCCGACGCCGCGACCGCGGCGGCTGCCAGCTCGGCTGCCGGCGCCGCCGGCGTGGTGGCCGCGGCTGCTGCCCCCCTCCGCGGCGGCTGCCGCCGACGCTTCGGCTGCCCCCGCCGCGGCGGCTGGCGCTGCCGCGGCCGCGGTGGCCGCCGCCGACGCGCGGCCTGCCGCGGCTTCCGTCGGCGCCGCCGCCGCCGCGGGCAACTCGGCCGGAGCTGCCGCGGCCGTGGCTCGTGCTGCCGCGCTGGGGCCCGCCGCGGCCGACGCTGCCGCGGCGGCCGCCGCTGCCGCCGCTGCGGCCGCCGCTGCCGCCGCGGCGGCGGCTGCCGCCTCACCTGACGGAGGCGGGCCTCACAGCGTGGAGACTCAGGAGTTTACTTCGGGAAGTGCAGCCGTTAGCTGCGACGGTCGTCTGGGAGTGCCACGGACCGAACGCGTGGTCGGTGGCCGCAGCGCGTCTGCTTCTCCTGGGGACTGGCAGGCGGGCACCCATGCCGCTCCCCACTCCCGTCAGCGCCCCTGGGGCAGCATCGCAGTGGAGGCCGAAAATGCGGTCGAAAGCGCGCCCCCTCTTGGAGACAGCATCGCGGCGACAAGAGCGCCGCAGAGGGCGCGCCCACGCAAAACAGAGACTCAGGAGATTGCGTCGGCAATTGCGGCCGTTAGCTGCGACAGTCGTCAGGGAGAGCCACAGACTCGACGGGGTGGTCGTCTGCCGCGGCGAGCCGGTCCCTCCCTCTCCTCGCGATAGGCCGACAGTCCCTCCTGCTGCTCCTCACTCTTATTTGCGCCCTCGGGGCAGCGTCGGTGCGGAGGCGCGACCGAAAGCGCGCCCCCTCCTGGGAACATTGCCGCGGCGACAGTTGGGGGCGCTGCTGAGGGCGCGTCCGCGCTCGGAGACGCCCGCCACAAAATAGAGAGACAGGAGTTCACCTCGGAAAGCGCAACCGTTAGCTGCAGCAGTCCCTTGGGGGAGCTTCAGACCGAACGCGCAGTCGTCGGCCGCAGCGCGTCGGCCCCCCCCCTTCCTGGAGACCAGCGGGCGGACGCGTGACGCGCCCCCTCCTGGAGACAGTGTCGCGGCGACCTTTGGGGGCGCCCTGCAGAGGGCGCTGCCGCGCTCGGAGACGTTCCTCGCAGAATAGAGACTCAGGAGTTCGCGTTGGAAAGTGCAGCCGTTAGCTGGCCCCCCCTTCCGCCTCCCACACCGATCAGCGCCCTCGAGCGGGGCGGTGTCGGGGCGGGGGCAGGAGGTGCCCCTGATGCAGCCGACAGCGCCCCCGCATATGGCGATAGTCTGGCGGCGGCGGATGGGGGCGCGCCCGCGAGCGAGGGCGGGCGCGGGCCCAAAGGCGAACGCCAGCGAAGGGGGCCTGCCCCCGCGCACCTCAGTGCAGCGCCCCGCTCTTGCCTGAGCAGCCGGAGGCGATCCGGCCCCTGCCCGGCGGCCAGCTGCGCGGCTCGCGCCAGTCCGCATGGCCCCGCCAGGCGTCCTTGCCCCAGCTGCCGCCGCGCCGCTCGACGCCAGGTGCGGCCCTCGCGGCGGGCGCGACCAATCCGGGCGGTCGCAGACAGAGCTCGAGCGCCTCGGCAAAGGGCAACGGGGCTGCCTCGCCGGAGGCCTGCGACCAGAGCGCGCGGCGGCGCAGACAACCGGGCCAGGGGCGAGCGCGACCGAGTAGATAAGCAAAGCAGCATGCGGAGCAGGCGCCGGAAGAGCCCGTTGAGCAGGAGTTGCCCGCCGCGCGCGGGGGGGGCGCGGAAGTGGCGCCAGCGCGGGAATTGGAGCACGGGCAGGAACAGAAACAGAGAACCGCCCACCGCCCCACCCCCCTGGCGGCCGCGCCCTCGCCCTGGCCCCTCCCTATCTGACAATGGCGCGAGCTCGAGCGCCGAGGGGCGGCGGCAGCGCGGCTGGAACGCGCCCCCAGCGCGTCTGCCTGCGGGTGGGCGCCCCGCCTGGCCTCCGCGAGCGGCGACTTTCCAGTCTCCCCGCCGCCCCCAGGTCGAAACCTGGCCCCCGGCGGCGCCGACCGCGCTGGCGGGCCTGGCAGACGGCAGGCAACAGGCGGCGGACGCACCAGCAGCAGCAACAGCAGATGCAGCAGCAGCCGCCGCTCCAAGGACCAGCCACCGACCACCCCGCCCTGGGTAGCGAGGCCCGCCGCGCGCCAACGGCCAGAACCCTTAGACCTCGGCGCGGGGCAGCAGCTGTATGGAGCTACGATCGACGACATCCAGTTGGGTCCCCCCGGGAAGACCCCTGGCAAGACGATAAAGCGGCTTCAAGCCACCGTGGGCGATGTTCACGGGCGACTGGCACTCGTTTGCCGAGCATCGCGCCGCGCCCGGCGCCAGAGTCGCGTTCGACCGCTACGGCGCGACCAGCAAAGTTGCATAAACTTCCCGTCCTCTTTCCGCAGCTACAACTGCGATGTGCGGGCCGCGAAAGACGCGCTGGACCTCGGCGTCGACTGGGCCCAGCTGCAGCAGCGGTACCTGGGTCGCAGTGACGGCGCGGGCAGGGGGCGCCGCGCGGCGAAGGACCGCGCCGGCAGCCGCGCACCCAGGAAGGGAGAAGCAGGGGAAGGTCGTCAGCTCTAGCTCTGCGGGCGCGCCCGCCCTTGTTTCCCATGAATCACCCGCTGCTTCGCCCTCCCCGTGGCTGTGCGGCCGTTTGCCCTTCGCGTTCCGTGTGGCCCTGTCCTCTTGCAGCTGCGCCTCGCTGGGAGCGTTCCGGAGGTGCCTGGACCGTCCCGGTCGGCCCCTGGGGTCGCAATCGCGGCGCTTCGCGGTTCCTCCCCAGCTTGTTCCTGAACGACGAGTCCATGTGCAAGGGCTTCTTGGGCGCCTGGCGCAGATGCGGCTTCGATCGACACCCTGGCCTTCATTCGCACCCGGCCACGGCATGGCTTGGTATCCCAGGTGAACTGGCCCCCCTCTTGGCCTTCCCCGCGCTTGGCCGCTGCCTGACCCGGCTCCCTCGTCAGCAGGCCTCGTGGCGACCGGTGTTGGTTCCGATATTGCGCCTGGCTTGCCCCCCCACCCTTGGGGATCCGGCTCCACGGCGCCGTCAATACCTGGCGCGGTGCCCCTTGCTGGGGCGGGGCGCAGCGTGCCACGCGGCCCTGGCCGTTGACTGTAGCTGTTTTCGTTTCGGCCTTCGTTCGGTCCCAGCCACAGCCTGGCTTGGTATCCCTGCGTGGTGAACTAGCCTCCTCTTCGTGGCGTCTCGTGACTCGCGCTCGCCGCGTTGCGGGCACTTGGCCGGAGGTAGCCTGTGCCTTCACCTGCCTGGTGCGCCGCCCCCCCCCGGTCCCTTGCGCCCGGGGGTTTTCACGCTGGCTTCGTTGAGCCGGTGAAGCACCCTGGCGTCCAGGCGACTTGCACGTCGACCAGTTCCGGCTTGAACTCTTGCGTGTTCCTGGCCTCTGGTCCCAGACACCGCCACAGCCTGGCCGTGTTTGCAGCTGCCACCTGCATTGTGGGACGCGCCCTTTCGTGATTTGCTCAGGAGTGGTTCAGCCTTCTTGTTCAGCCATGTGAGGTTGTCTCTGTTGTCATGCAGCACTGGTTCGACCTGTGGCGCCTGGTGCGACGAGGTTCAATTCATGTTTTTCCTGGTGGTCTCGTCCCTGGGATGCCCGCGCGCTTGCCTGGCAGCTCCCGGCAGCTTCTGCAGCCTTTAGCCTTCGGCGCAGCCCAGCGTCCTTCGGCGGTAGTCTTGCAGCAGCCTGTGCGCGCGCTAAATCAATTCGTTCCGCTCGTAGCCCGAGCTGAGTCGTGACGCCGCCCGCACCTCCGCCTGCGGCTGCGAGAAAAAATCCCCACCAGTTCTCCTGGTGGTCTCGCCCCTGGAGTGCTTGCACTTCAGCCGCCTGGCACACCTGGCAGCTCTTGCAGCCGCGCCTTCAGCCTCAGCGCCCCCCGGGCGTCCTTCGGCGGCAGTCCGGCAGCCGTAGTTGCGCGCGCTAAGTAATTAGATTTCGCTCGTAGCCCGGGCTGGCGTTTGACGCCTGCTGCGCCTTCGATTGCGGCCGCAACCAGAAGTATCCCCACTAGCCCATCCAGAAACGATGCCCAGGGGAGTTGAGGTGATCAGGGAAGTGGGTGAGCATGCAGAATAACAAAGGGCGGGGGACGCCGTCCGAGGTGGAGAAGGGGGAGGAGGGAGGACGGAGGAGGAGGAGGAGGAGGAGGAGGAGGAGGAGGAGGAGGAGGAGGCGGATAAGGAGGAGGATAAGGAGGAGGAGGAGGAGGAGGAGGAGGAGGAGGAGGACGAGGAGGAGGACGAGGAGGAGCAGATGGAACACGTAACGAACATCAGAGCCTCTTCGGATGTCTCTTGGGGTCCTTTTGGGCCCTCTTGGAGCCATCTTGGGGCCTCGGACGGCCATCATAAGCGAAAAGACGAGAAACCAACACACATTGTCACACTGATGTTCCCTAGGTTTCGGGAAGGGTTCGGCCTCGAGCTCTTTGGCCACTTGGAGCCGTCTTTGAGCGGTCCTGGGGCCTCTTGGATCATCTTGGGAGCTATTTTGAGGCATCGTGGGATATCTTGAGCCATCTGCTAGCTCATCTTAGGATCCCCGAGGCGCTCTTGGAGCCATCATGGGCTATCTTGGACGCTCCAACCCCTCGCGGGACCCCCCGTCCAGGTCCAGGGCAGGAGGTAGGTAGGGCTAGGGGTAAACCCATACCCGAAGGAGAAGTGGGGCAGATGGAAGACACGACGCGCTATACCACCCACGCCCCAAAAGGCTGGTGGGATTAGGAGGAGGGGGAGGAGGAGAAGGACCATGAGCAGGAGGAGAAACCTCTTTCTCCCTCTTCCCCCCTCCCCCGTCCTCCTCCCTCTTCCCCCCTCCCTCTTGCCCCCCCCTCCCAGAACGCGACGTGGCCGCAGCTGCTCGGCCGAGGGCGCGCGACCGCCGGCCACGCCCCGCGGCGCCCCTCGGGGTCGCGCCGCTCGGCGCTTCCAGCGGCCCGCAAGGCGGGCCGCAAGGCTCCTTGGAGGAGCGGCGCAGCGGGTGCCTCGCCGCCCCCCCTGGGGCGAGGAGGAGGATGGGGGGGCGAGGAGAGGGACGAGGAGGAGGATGGAGGTGGAGGAGGAAGGAGGAGGATCAGGAGGAGGAGGAGGAGGAGGAGGAGGAGGAAGAGGAGGAGGAGAAGCGAAATGAGGAGGGAGGGGATCAGGAGGAGGAGGAGGAGGGAGGAGGAGGAGGAGGAGGAGAGGAGGAAGGAGGAGGAGGAGGAGGGGAGGAGGAGGAGGAGGAAGGAGAGGAGGAGGGGGGGGGGGGAGAGGAGAGGAGGAGGAGGGAGGAAGGAGGAGGAGGAGAGAGAGGAGGGAGAGGAGGGGGAGGAGGAGGAGGAGGAGGAGGAGGAGGAGGAGGAGAGGAGGAGGAGGAGGAGGAGGAAGAGGAGGAGGAGGAGGAGGAGGAGGAGGAGGAGGAGGAGGAGGATTCATCAACGTTGTTGGAATAAACCCTTCCTCCAAGCTCCCTCTTCCTAGGCTCCTGTATGGATTGATGCTCGCTGTGGAAAGACCCCTATTGGAGGACAACCGTCTGAACATCTTCAACCGTATCAGACCACCATTCCTGTGCTTTCGACGCCGCGAATTAACGTTACTGCTACGACCTAGCGATCTTAAATCGTCCCAGAGCACACTTTTCGGGGACGTGAATCTTGCGGCGAATTCACTTGACTGTCGCGTCCTGAGCATCCGAAACCGTGCCAGAACACCGTTTCTGGGACGACGGCCATCAGAACAACTACTTGAAGCTGTTGTGAACTGTCAAAAGCATGTGCGCATCTTTCAGGCGAGAGCCACATTTTGAGAAGAAACCGCCTTCCATCCGTGAAATTCTTGTTAACTTTGAAGAAGAATGTTGCTCGGCGCTCTGGCGAGAGCCACATATTGAGAATTGCCCGCCTTCCATCCGTGAAGCTCTTGCATTTTTCTAAAACCAATGTGCGCGGCGCTAAGGCGAGAGCCACATTTCGAAGACTGCCCGCCCTCCATCCGTGAAGCTCTTGCAAACCATGTGACGACTGCGTGCGGCGCTAAGGCGACGAAAACGACACGCCCTGCATCCGTGAACCTGTTGCAAATTTCAAGCTTCAGGATCATGAGTGGCGAGGATGCCTCAAGCGAAACGCCCGGCCCGCCCCACCGTCCCGTCGCGGGGTGTGACAGGGAGGAGTTGCTCATAAGGAAGAAGGATGTAGGAGGAGGGGGAGGAGGGGGGAGGATGGAGGAGGAGGGGGAGGAGGAGGAGGAGGAGGAGGAGGAGGACCAGTGTAATTCCAAGAGTCACCAACGATATTGCAATGAACGCTCCCTCCGAGTTTCCTCTCCATAGGCCTCTGCAAGGCTTCATTTCCCTGAGGGAAGTGCCCCGTCGGAAGACAACCGTTTGAAAATCCTGTCCTGTACCAGAACACCATTGCTGGGACTTCAATGCCGCGAATCACTGTTATTGTTGCGTCTTGACAATCCCGATTCTTGCCAGAACGTGACTCCTGGGACTGCAAGGCCACGAATCGACGTAACTGTTGCGCCCTGACAGTCCGACATGGTGCCGAAACGCCGTGTTTGGGACGTTAGACATGTGAACCCTTGAAGATGTGGAAAGCTCTTAGAACAAACTTGTGCGGCGCGAATACGAGGGCCACATTTTGAAAAGGAACCGCCGTCAATACGTGAAGCTCTAGCGCACAGTTCAGACTGATGTGCGCGGATCTATGGCGAGAGCCACACACATTTTGAAAGCGGCCTGCTCTCCAACCATGAAGCTCTTGCACATGTTTGGAGACGATGGTGCGCGGGGCTGAGGCGAGAGCCACGTGTTGAAAATCACTCGCCCTCCTGGAGGCCGTGCAATTTTTTTAAAATGATATGCCCGGCGCTGAGGCGAGAGCCACATGATGAAAACCACTCGCCTTCCATCGTGAAACTCTTGCAGTGTTGCAGACGAATGCGCGCGGTGCTAAGGCGAGAGCCTCATTATGAAAACCACCCGCCCTCCATCCGTGAACCTGTTGCAAATTTCAAGCTTCAGGATCATAAATGGTGCGTAAGCTTCAGGTGAAACCCCCGGCCCACCCTTTCGTCAGGCCCCAGTGTGCGACAGGGAATACTTCTTTTAAGGGTAAAGGAATGGAGGAGGAGGAGGAGGAGCAGCAGAATAGGGAAAGGAAGAGGAAGAGGAAGCGGTTGAGGTGGAGGAGGAGGCGGGAGGAAAAGCGAAGCGAGGAGGGAGAACGAGGAGAAGAGAGAGATGAAGGAAAAGGGAAGAGGAGGTAGGATGGGGAGGAGGAAGAAGAGGAAGGAGCATGAGGAGGCTGAGGAGGAGAAAGGGGAGGAGCAGGAGGGGGGGGAGAGGAGGAGCGGGAGGAGGCCGTGGGGGAGTGAGGGGGAGGGAGAGGAGGAGGAGGATCATGTTGATGATGAAGATGTGGTTGTCTGATAGTGGTGAGGATGTTGGTGTTGGTGGTGATGATCGTGGTGGTGATGGTGATGGTGGGGGTGATGGTGATGGTAATGATGGTGGTGATGGTGGTGGTGGTGCGGGAGGAAGACGGGGACGAGGAGGACAGATTTGATGAGGCCAGGCGGTGTCCGGTGGTTTCCTGATGCGAGTATTACCTGGATTGGTGGGCGAGGAGCAGGAGTTGTAGTAGTAGTAGTAGTAGTAGTAGTAGTAGTAGTAGTTGTAGTTGTAGTTGTTGTAGTAGTAGTAGTAGTAGTAGTAGTAGTAGTAGTAGTCGTAGTCGTAGTCGTAGTCGTAGTCGTAGTCGTAGTCGTAGTAGTAGTAGTAGTAGTAGTAGTAGTAGTAGTAGTAGGAGTAGGAGTACGAGTAGTACGAGTAGTACGAGTAGTACTAGTAGTAGTAGTAGTAGTAGTAGTAGTAGTAGTAGTAGTAGTAGTAGTAATAGTAGTAGTAGTAGTAGTATTCGTAGTAGTAGTAGTAGTAGTAGTAGTCGTAGTCGTAGTAGTAGTAGGGTTGACCTTACTCTGTTTGCCCCAGGGAGCCTGTGGGATTCCTTTGGGTTCCTGGTCTTCTGGGGCTCTTTTGGGTGTCCTGGAGGCCTTCTTGCGCCCTGGACGCCCAAGAAGCCTCCAGGATGCTGCATGGTACTCGTATGGTTGCCATATGGTACTCTTATGGTTTTCATAGCTTCTGGCGTTCGTGTGAAACTGTTTTTATTGTTTTCGTATGGCACCCTTATGGTTTTCATATGGTAAGCTTATGGCTTTCTTATGGTACCCTTGTGGTTGCCGCATGGTAATCGTATGGTTTTCGTATGGTAATCGTGTGGCTTTCGCATGGTCATGGTATTGGTTTTCGCATGGAAGCCTTGTGGCTTTCGTGTGGTAATCGAGTGGTTGTCGTATGGCTTTCGTATGGCAATATCATGATGTTCGTGTGGTGTTCCTATGGTTTTCGTGTGGTAATATTATGGTTGTCGTGTGGTTTCCGTGTGATCCTCTTATGACTTTCGCATGGTAGTAGTATGGCTTTCCCATGGTATTCGCTTGGTTTTCTTATGATCTTGTTATGGTTTTCGCATGGTAATATTATGGAACCCGCATGGCAATCTTAAGGTGTTCGCATGGTTGTCGTATGGTAATCGCATGGTGGTCTTATGGCGTCCGCATTGTAGTCGTATGGTTTTCGCATGGCGCTAGTACGGTGCTTACTCTTTTGGTTTTCGCATGGTGTTCGATGGTTTTCGCATGGTAATCTGATGGGTTCCGTATGGTTTTCGTATGGTGTTCTTCTTTCGTATGGTAATCGTATGGTTTTCGTATGGCAAACTCATGGTTGCCGCATGGCTTTCGCATGGTAATCTTATGGTTCTCGCATGCCAGCGTTGCATGGTTTTCGTATGGTAATCGCGTTGCATTCGCATGGCATTCGCATGGTTTCTCGTTTGGCTTGCGTATGGTAATCTTATGGTTTTCGCATGGCTGTCGTATGGTAATCTTACGGTGTTCGTATGGTGTTCGTGTGGTACTCTTATTGTTTTCGCATGGTAAGCTTATGGCTTTCTTATGGCAGTGTCATTGGTTTCGCCTGGTAATCTTATGGTTTTCGTAGGATAACCGTATGGCTTCCGTATGGTAATCATATGGTTTCTGCAGTGTAGTCGTATGGTTGTCGTACGATTTTCGTATGTTGTTTTCCGTATGGCTTGCGTATGGTGTCTTTATGGTAGTCGCATGTTTTTTTCCGCATGGCAATCGTATGGTTTTCGTGTGGCAATCTTTTGGTGTTCGTACGGTGTTCTTATGGTAATCGCATGGTGTCCGTATGGTATTCGTACAGTGTTCGCATGGTGTTCGTATGGTTTTCGCATGGTTATCGTCTGGTGTTCGTATGGTTTTCGTGTGTTGATCTTATGGTTTTCGTATGGTTGTTCGCATGGTACTATGATGGCTTCCGCGTGGTAATAGTATGGTTTTCGTTTGGTAACCTTATGGTTTTCGTATGGCATGCTTTTCTGATTTTCGCATGGTAGCCGTATGGATTTCGCATCGTTTTCGTAAGGCAATCTGTTGGTGCCCGCATGGTTTTCGCGTGGTTTTCGCAAGGTAACCTGATGGTTTGCGCATGGTTTTCGCACGGTACTCGTATTTCGTATGGTAATGTGTTGGCATTCGTTTGGTAAGCATGATAATCTCGTGGCTTTCGCATGTCAGCCGTATGGTAATCGTATGGTTTTCGTATGGTAATCGTATGGTTGCCGCATCGTTATCGCATGGTAATCTTATGGCGTCCGCATGGTAGCCGCATGGTTTTCATATGGTGTTCATGGTAATATCATGGTTTTCGTATTGTAGCACTATGGTGTCGCATGATTGTCGCGTTGTTTTCGGTTGGTAATCTTATGGCTTGCGCATGGAACGCCGATGGCGTTCGCATGGTAATCATTTGGTTATCGGATGGTAATATTATCGGTTTCGTATGGTTTCCGTATGGTAATCGTATGGCTTTCGTATGGTACTCGCATGATAATCGTA